GAGAATATTTGGTCTACTACCTCAGAAATTTTTTAATATCTTATTTAATAGATATATTTACATACAGCTGAAACTATTTGATTTACCACAAATTTGTTTATACCAAATGAAAATAAGTACATTTCATTAAAATAAAAGATTAACATAATGATTAAAAATAAGCTAATAAACTGGACAAGGTAAGATATTCTGAATTGCTCAACACCTTAATGTTAATTTAGAGTCAGCTATATTTTGTCTAGTTTGGGGTTCAAACAAAAATTTTCTAACTAGCTTGTCTGAAGGCAGAGTAAAGAAGGAGCTGCTTAGGGAATGGGCTGCCACGTTTTGGGGCAAAAACATGCTTTCTTTTTTTTTTTAATAGGCTATACAGAGCACAGAGAAGGGAAAACCAGCCTGAAGTTACTTATTTGCATTCTTATCCAGGGAGACAGATGTGAGGGTCACTAATACATAAACACTAGATTCTGATGGGCTGAGGAAGCACTCAACTATTACCTCTGATTCTGCTCATGTCATTTTTATACACTGTAGTAGGACCAAATCATATCATGACACATTCTTGCTTAAAATCTTTCCACAGGCTTCCCATTGCACTTAGAATAAAACCTGAATGCCTAAACTTAATTTATGGAAAAAGTCATCCACCTATCCTTTGGATTCATCACAGGTCATCATTCTCCCTTTCACCTGTGACAGACTATATATATGCCAGCCTTCTCACTCTTCCTATAATAAAAGAAGCTCTTTCTTGTTCAAAAATTTTGCATTAACTGTTCCCTCTGCTTGGAAATCTTTCTTCCAGAGCCTTTACATGATGGTTCCTTCCTGTCATTTATATCTCAGATTAAATGTTATTCATTCAGACATACTGTGGTAGTTAAGGTTATGTGTCACCTTGACTGGGCCTGGTTTTGAGTGGCTGGGCAGATGGATGCAGTTATTCCCCATGATAAGACTGATAATAAAATCCATGTGGGAATCTATTGTGAGCAGCTGAATAGCTGCCTTAGGGATGTGGTATGCTTCCAGTATCGAAGAAGAGGCTTTGAGAAATGTCTTGAGCTTTTTGGTACATCTGAATCCTACATTTAGCTGAGACTTCATCTCACTGGCTACCATGTTGTCTGCTGATCTTGGGACTACTTTTGGACTTTAACTAGTGGACTGCCATGTTGCTTAATAATCTTTGAACTATACCATTTTACTTTTTGACCTTGGGTTTGTCAGTCTCAGCAGCCAGCAACTGTCTAAGAGAAGCCTACAGCTTCAGTGGGCCTGGAGCAAGAGGCAGAGCTGAAGCCCAAGGTCCAGGGGCCTTCACCCAGTCCCTAGAGCCTGGCACTTTGAACTCAGACCTCCTAAACTATAAGAGAATAAATCTCTGTTTGTCAAAGCCAACCATCTATGGTGTTTTCTGTTACAGCAACACTAGAGAGCCAAAACATACACCTTATTTGATCAGCCATTCCGAAGTAGCCATCCAGTCCTCCAGATGGCTATCTTGCTATTTTAATTCTGTGCATAGAACTAATCCTTGTGATACTATTGTGATGTTTTATTTGTCTATAGCCCATCTCCTTACACTAGGATGTAAAGCTTCAAGAAATCAAAGACATTTTCTCTTGAACACTATTCACCACCAGTGCCTAGAGCACAGCCTGGCAATGGCTAAACACTCCATAAATTCTGTGAGAAAATTAAAAATTATATTTTCAAGATAATTTTAAATAGTTGACCAGGGATAATTTTATTGAAAAGGTAAAGTTTGAGTAAAGACATAAAAGGAGAGAGGAAGCAAATCAAGAGGCTTTCGAGGCACAAGAAAGAAGTGTTGCAGGCAGAGGAAACAGCTTGCGTAAAGGCCCAGAGGCAAGAGCTGATCCAATGGTTTTCACTACAACTTTTTTTTCCTTTCCTATTTGGTGACAGTGTTGTATTTACTCATGTAAAGAACAATGGAAAAACCAAAACAAAACAGAACAAAGCAGTAATTGTCATAAAACAATAAGCAACAGCAAACAAAGAAGTGTTTAAAGAGAGATGCAATAAGTAAACATTTGAGAATAAACTAGAGTGAGCAGAATGCTTCTATTTCTGCTGAGATTACTGATCTACTGGCTAGAACTTCAGATTATGCAGGAAGTATCATTTGGTGTTAATCTACCTGAAACAGATGATGTGATCCTAAATAATATGAGATCCTTATTCTTTTTCTTCCACTTCTTCCATTTTATTTTCTCTGTTTTCTTAAGACCTATCAGATTTCAGAACCTGATAAAATAGGAAATACTATTTTTGACAGTTTTCCCGCTGTGAAAATTTGCTTGTTACATTTTCATTTTTTATATCTTTCTTTTGGCACAGAATCGATAATGTAAGAAACTGCAGCAAGTAAAATGTTTTCTTCCAAAGAAACATTTTAAACCAACAAAAAAGGATGACTCATCAAACCACTTTTTTTCCTTTAACGTTATTTTTTATGCTTTTTTTTAAAAAAAAAAAAAAAAACTTTGAAAGTAATGTACATGCTTAGTGGAAATTTTGGAAAATTCATGGAGAAAAAAGTAAAAATCACTTGCAACCAGAGAGGACAACTATTAACATTTTACTATATTCATTTCAGATTTTTTATAATAAATCTTATTTATATACTTAATTTTTCCAAGTATTGTGTATATGTGTATACACACACACAAACAACATGCTCTTTTGAGCATTTTCTCATATCTTTTTTTTTTTTTTCTGTATTTCTGAAATCTTGAGAGATGGAAGAAAACCTCAAGTGAGGTCACCAAGGAGTCATGACATTTGGCCACTAAAGACCCTTGGGAAAAATTACCTACTGTATCATAATGTGTCGATGATACTATCTACATGACAAAACTTTCAGACCTGCCCCAAAATATGATTGTTCCTTTTCTCTGATGAGGTTATTCTGTACCATGTCAAAACAAAAATTGTTTTTGTTTTAGATTGGCTATTTTTAGAATGCTTATCTTTGGTCTCCTAGAGGTAACAGAAGCAACTCCTGGCAGCTCAAAAATTGAGTTTCAAAGGACAATGATAAAAACAAAAACCAACCAAGCAAACATACATATAACAACAAACTCACCTCTCCATCTGTAATTCTCCAGACAAAGATTTCATTTTATCTTAAATCTAAACAAGAAAAGTACTCATTTGGGCTATGTTGTTGTTGTTATTTGCTGTCGAGTTGGCCCCGACTCATAGCGACCCCTCCTTGGGTTTCCGAGGCAGTTATCACTACAGAAGTAGGATTACCCAACCTTCCCTCCGAGGAGTGGCTGGTGGGTTTGAACCGCCAGCCTTCTGGTCAGCAGTCAAGTGCCTTAGGCATTATGCTACCAGAGCTCCTCATTTGGGCTATAGTGGGTGATATTTCTCAAGTTCTCTTTAGCCAACCAAGAAATGCCACAGACTTTTTTCAGGATAAAATATTCTAGAGAAGTAGTGGTAGATTTGCATTTGAGAGTTGCTGGGCTCTCTCCCTAAACAGAAAGGTTTCTTTTAAACAGCTGCCAGTCTGCTAATACTTCAGATATACTTGGTAGTGTCTATTCATTCACTTAAGACTCTGAGATGTATAAATGCAGGATACAAAACACTTCAAGGCATGAAGAGAAATGAATGGTCAGACACACAACAAAGAAAAGCTCTTTATGTCTCTCCCCTCTTGAACTATAAAATCCTTCTGTGAATTGTTTTACAGACTCTACTGAATAATCTCCCTTTCTTTCACAACTTCTCAATCAGAAATGCCTCAGCTGACAATAAAATCTAAAACTGATGGAGGTGGGGCAATGACATTTTCCTAAAGTAAAACCATTGTTCCATAAAACCATTGTCACAGAATCTAGTTTATGTATTTTTTCTGTTCTTTCTTTTTCTTTCCTTTGTTTCTTTCTTTCTTTTTTTTTTTAAATTATTCATCCATTTGCTTATTCTGGAAAACAAGTGAAAATTGTCATGCTGTTTTATAATTCAGGAGAGATAATTTCTAAAATAATTTCACTAGTTTCTGAAATAGAATCAATGACTATAAAATAAACTCTTTTCAGGATAGAGGAAAACTAATTTAGCTGATTAAAATAAAGGAATATGTTCTATCTCCCCATTCTTACTCATTTTTAGCTGTACAATCTTTATAAACACCAAACCAAAACCAAACACGCTGCTGTGGAGTTAGATAGCGACCCTTCCTTGGGTTTCCGAGGCCATATCCTACGGAAGTAGATTGCCCAATCTTCCTTCTAAGGGGTGGCTGGTGGGTTTGAACTGCCCGCTTTCTGGTTAGCAGTCAAATGCCTTTGGCACTACACCACCAGAGCTACTTTTTTTAGACACAGAAAGGCATAATTCAATTAATAACACTTCACATTATTTTTTAAAGTATTAATTTGCATAGAACTTCTATCATTTAAAAATGTACATATATTTCAAAAAATTTATACTTGTTTCAATTTTACCTTCACTAGCACTCTCCCAATTAGGTAAAGGATTATAGTTTTCATTTTACACATGAGACAATAGAGGAACGAAAAGGTTGTGTGACTTTTCTAATGATATGCAACAAATTAATCTAGGACACTCACAAAATATGTAGTTAAAATTACGTTAATATAAGATAACCAGAAATTATGTAAATTTAATTTATTCTTTAAATTATACTCAATTTCTCTACTGGATGATGTTCACTCAACTTTAAGCACAAGAGAAAGTATACACAATTGATCAATTAACACAATCATTTTAATTCTTTTTAAATGTAAGTGCCTTGGTAATGAGATAACTTTAACTTATAGAGAATTTGGGGGGGGTGGTTTTCAATCCTTGCTTCAAAGATTGCATACGTAAGAAACAAACAAAAAATTTTAAATGTAACCAAAGACCAAATATTAGGAACCTATTTGCTAACAGTCATAAATATTCTACACTATTAAATTAACATTTAAAGTACACTAAAAATATTTCCTCACCAATATTGGGGTGCTTCAAAAGACGACAGATTCTAGCTTCCCTTTCTAGTTTCTGGTGATCTGAAGAAACAAAACAGAAAATTAAATCATAACATTCAGCAAAAAAGAATAAAACATAACAAACAATATACCAAAATTATACTTAACAAGGCTTTACATTTACTTATTCTTTCATTTGCTTTTCAAAAAGTTATCATTTGAATTTGGAATTAGGTGAACACAAAATAATTCAACAACCTTATTTTCTTTATTTCTTACTGGGCTGATGCTTGATAGAGTTAAGGTAGAGGAGATAGCTGAATTTAGGCTTGGGTTGATGGGAAACAGTGGAAATAGCACAAAACAATAGTTTGTCTTCCTATCTTTATCTTAAAACAAGTGCATAGTATTACAGCAACTTAACCCAATATGGACATACAAATTTAAAGTAGAGATAATCATTGTACTTTGGTACAGAGCAGAAGCACTTTACGTGTACTTCTAATTTCACCATACAGAATACTGAGAGATGTAATCAATAGTCAAGATCTAATAAAATTAATTTTGATCACTTCATCAAGGACAGTCTTAAGTGAAATGGGGCTTCTCTTTTTCTTTGTGTATGGTACTGAAAAATACAAAGACTAAAAGCACAGATTGATATCACTGTCATTGTTTGTACTAAATCTCAAGCAGTTTTACTACCATTTACCACAAAACTGAAAATGTCAACACCCCACAGATACTCTAAATGAGTTTTGGGACTCCATGAGTCTACAGACAACAGTTTCTGAGAATCACAGATGTATACTATAAAAAACTGTTTTATGTAATACACTTTTTGGAACTTAGGAAAATATTTTATACACAAATAGTGGTACCAACATCTCAAAGATAAACAGTGTTTTAATAAATCATTAGAGAATTAGATGGTACCCAGCTACCGCTGTCAACCACTTGGAGAAGGATCCATGCAGGAGACCCTGGATAAAATGGGAGAACAATGTGGAATAAAACTCAAAATCATTAAAAAAAAAAGACCAGGATGTTGGTCTGATAGAGCCTAGTGAGACCCCTGAGACTATGGCCCCTCGTTACCCTTTAGGTCTAGAACTGAACTCATTCCCGTGGTTTCCAGACAAAATTAGACAGGCATATGGGGTGAACATTTATATCAGGTAGATACACTCCTTGGAGTGATCAATTGTGGGAGAACAGAAGGGCAGTGTTTGCACAGGAAGACATCTGGGATGGAGTGGCAGGAATGCAGGGAAGTCAAGGATGGAGGGAAGAGCTAACTATGGGGAGTAAATGTAGAGAGAGCTCTTACAACTGTGGATAGTTGCAGTCAAGGTCATGAGACAAAATGTGTATGAACTGCTGTATGCAAAATAAATTTGTTCTATAAACTTTCACTCAAATCACATTAAAAATTTAAAATAAATAAAAATAAATCTTTAGAACAGCAGTAGACGGCAAGTAACATCATATTCAGTCTTCGACTGAATTGCCAAATATAAAAAAGAGAGATTCTTTGATCTTGTCGCTATCTAAAACTACACATATTTCAAATAAATGTATATTCTTCAAACCCCTACTGCTTTAACAGATCCTAATTCTTAAGATAAGTTATTTCTGGAATATTCTTACTTAGAACTTCGTAAGTAAACAAAAAGGGTTAAAACAGGTTTTGAAAATGCATCTCTCTAACACCATTATCTTAAACATATACTGAAAAGCTTCTCTGATTAAAGACAAATGCTTATAGGCTTAGGCAGGGATATCCAAATACACACACACACACATACATATAGACATGTGTGTGTGTGTGTGTGTGTGTGTGTGTGTATATATATATATATGTTGTTGTTGTTGTTATGTGCCGTCGAGTCGGCCCCGACTCATAGCGACCCCTCCTTGGGTTTCCGAGGCAGTATCACTACAGAAGTAGGATTGCCCAACCTTCCTTCCGAGGAGTGGCTGGTGGGTTTGAACCACCAGCCGTCTGGTTAGCAGGCAAGTGTCTTAGCCACTATGCTACCAGAGCTCCCACACACACACGCACACACACACGTGTGTGTGTGTATATATGTGCTAAACAATGTGACATACATAGATAAATAAATCTTACAGGTGCTATCAAGTCTATTCCAACTCACAGCAGTCCCATGTGACAGAATACACCTCTCTCCTAGGGCTTCTTGGCTGTACTGTTTACGGAAGCACATCACTCAGGCTTTCTCCAATGGGGCTACTGAGTGGGTTCATAATGTCAACATTTTGGTTAACAGCTGAGTCCTGTTTAACCACTGCACCACCAGGGCTCAGTATATATAAATATATATCATCTAATATGTACATACAAACAAAAACAAACAAATCCACTGCTGTCGAGTCCATTCAACTCATAGGGTTTCCGAGGCGGTATCACTACAGAAGTAGATTTGCCCAATCTTCCTTCTGAGGAATGGCTGGTGGGTTTGAACTGCCAGCCTTCTGGTTAGCAGCCAAATGCCTTAGGCAGAGCTCCTATACATACATAATGAGGTTAAAATAAGAAAGTCAAGGAAACAAAGACCTTTATTGACAATAAGTGCTATAGAGTTTCAGCTATATAAATTAGCATAATTAGAGAATTTTTATAGCATATGAATTCTACCACAAAGTTAGCAGCTTAAAACAAAACATAAGTATTATCTCACAGTTTCTGTGGGTCAGCCTACCCTTTGCTTTAGCATCTTTCATGAGGATGCACTCTGGTGTCCACTAGGGCTCAAGCCTCCTCTTAAGTCTTGACTAGGAAAGAATCTGCTTCTAAATTCATAGGTTCACTGGCAGAATTTCAGTTCTTCAAGGGATACAGGATGAAGGGTTCCTTTGGTTTTGGTAGCTGGCTACTGGCTCAACACTGACTTTAGGTCCTCATGTATTTATTTTTTTCCCAGCTTTAAACTCTTTTGTCCTTTCTTTTTAGCTTAACAATTTGCTTCATCAAGCCACCAATAAAAAGTGTATGCAACAAAATGGAAGTTACTGTCTTACCTAGCCTAATGATAGGAGTGACATCCCATCATGTTCACCATATTCTATTTGTTAGCAGACAGTAACTAAGGCAACTTAATTCCAAGAGGAGGGACTTTTACAAGGGTGTGAATGTTGTTGTTGTTGTTGTTGTTGTTTGCCGTCGAGATAGTAGCGACCCCTCCTTGGGTTTTCGAGGCAGTATCACTACGGAAGTAGGATTGCCCAACCTTCCTTCCGAGGAGTGGCTGGTGGGTTTGAACCGCAGCCTTCTGGTTAGCAGTCAAGTGCTTTTAGCCACTATGCTACCAGAGCTCCCCCTACAAGGGTGTGAATACCAGAAAGCAAAGGTCACCGAGGACAATCTTAGAGTTTACCTGCCATAGCAAACTTTAAAACAGTACTGATGCTTTTATGAGCTTTCTCTTTAATAAGGAGCTTTCTCATTTTTTCTTCTATACAATCACTTAACTTAGTGATCACCTATGAATCATAAGGCATTCTGCAAACTGTCACTGGGGCATGTTTTGACATTCCAAGCATGAAGATATAGCTAAAGTTCTCATTAAAACCACAATTCAATAATAATGGAAATGCATAACACCTGATGTGCTTCATATTCAACATCAAGTTAACAACTACACTTTTTAGAGAGAAGAGATAGGTTAGGAGGAGTGACTAAGTACTGATTATTACCAAAAGCACATTTCCGTATTTATCCTGCTAAAATGACAAACTGGTTTTACATTTAAAACTTCCTTGACTTTTAATTCAATTAGCAATAAAGTCATACAACCCTACCTCATCATTCCCAGCTCTCACAACTACAATGGTGACAGACAAACACAGATTATATAAGACAAGACATCCATAACACTGCTTAGCACCACGTGAAGATTGTCTTTCATTACCTACAGTCCCTGAAGCTAGTGTAGAATCAGCTAATCTACCAATTAATATTTATTAAAGTGCTAGAACCATAATAGTTTGACTTTATTCTTCCTGGGATGCTCAAATCAACACTGTTATGTGAATAAAAATATTGTATAACACCTTGAGCTATAATCTTGTCAGGTCTGATAAGGTAAGAAGTTCTGGTGGTGTAGTGGTTAAGACATTTGGCGGCTAACCAGAAGGTCAGTGGTTTGAAACCAGCAGCCACTCCACAGAAGACAGACTGGGCTTCCATAAATATTTACAGCCTTGGAAACCCAGTGGGGGGTGATGTGAGTCTCAACTGACCCCATGGCAGTGAGTTTAGTTTGGGTTCTAGTTAGCAATATATGCTTGAAGTGTGCATGTCTATAATATATTAAAGGAATATATATTACTAATCAGTTTTATCACTGAGTCAGTAGGAAACAGTATTACTTGGCACAGAGAGCTCCAGATTTTAAAATAGTATTGGAAGATTTTGAGAATATGTTATTTATTTCTTCCCAGCTTATCTTTTTTTAAGTTAACAAGATAGTTCATTTCAAACAAGATGAATACATGAATTCAGACCTAATAAAAAAAACCCTTAACCACTATTCCAAATCAAATTTTAAACTTTATGCTAAATAATAACTGTGGCCACCAATAAAGAATTAAAGTGAACCACTTTCGCAAAGCAACAGGAGTATCACTGAAATTAAACAAAACAGCAGTTCATTTATCTGGTAATACCAGGGAATGAGCTATTAGCCAACAAATAAATTTCAAAAGTAACTACTCATCCCTAAAATGTCAAACCTTTAAAATGTTAATCCTCTTGGGTACAAAGCTAACAGTGATTGATGTTCAAAGAGATAACACAAAAAATATTTTAATCTTTCTTGACACATTAGAATCATCATTATTAGTATTAGTTATTAGTCTGCTGTAGCCTACAGTTTCCTGCACTCTGTCCTCTTACCCCTTGTTCCTCCTTGTTCTCAGAATAGGCAATGCCAAGGTATTGTGTGAGCAGGGCCAGTGCTTTCTGCCATAGCAGGCCAACTACAATCCCACCCCAAAACACACACACACACACACACACACAGCTCTCCTTCCTCACAATACAGATTCCTAGCCTTAAA